CATGTTTCCTGATGAAGAAGTGAATTTTGGTAGTGAAGTTACTAAAAAGAGCATGTGTGGAAGGGAGCAAAGATCAAAGGCAATAACCAGCCCATCCTCCAGAGGATAGATCTGCAATGAAAAGTCGGCAAGGCGTGTCTCAGAGACCCAGACTCCCTTTCCCTGCTACTTCTGGAAGATGCAAGTCCCAACAAACACTTTATAACTCTAACTTGGCAGCAGGACACCTTGGCTTTCCAAGGTCCTACCAAAGCCAGTGGTGGCACAGTGCCTTCGCTTGAAAAACCACAGGGTATTTATTAAGAAAAATAATTCCCTTCCTCCTCGGAAAAAAAAAAAAAATTGAAAAAAAAATTACACACGTTCTAAATATATATCATTTTCCACATAATTTCTCTGAAAAGACAGCACTAAAGTTGCTGTATGTTGTGAAGATAAAAAACAGAAAAAGGAAGTTTGTGCCAGACACAACCTTTGAGCCCGGTGTATACAGTCAGTAAGAACAAAGATTTGTGAATTCCAAGTCTCTTAGTCGTATTTTTAAAAGCATCTCTGCAGTTCCAGTACCTTAGTATCATCCATTTGAGGACAGTAAAGTTGAGGAAATTTCTGGGGGGGAGGTAAAAAAAAAAAAGCAGCGTGTTTTAATCACCCTTCGTCCATCCAAAAATACCCCAATACATATGTCTTTTTGATGTATATTTGGATAACAATGTAGTCTGGCTGAGGTATCATCTGTTTTCCAAAACACTGCCTTCTTTAGGATTAAATATTATCAGGATATTCAACACAAATCTGTAGCACAGATTTCCTTTGTTTTCTACTTTTTAGTCCCCACACAGACCTATTACAATTCCACTTACTCTGATGTGTTTCTCTAAATGTCTGACTTAACATCACTGAGCAGTGGATTCCACTTTTTTTTTTTTTTTTACTCTTTCCCCCCTCTCTTTCCTTTTTAAATTTTCAAGTCAAATAAATTCAGTACTGAATCCACAAGAGATCCACAGGCAAGAGAACCTAGCGTGAAACAAAGAAAAATGAAACAAAGAAATCAGTGTCAGGTATATACAGAAGGATGTAATTCTGTTTGTAGGATTTTCTGAGGAGTTTTGAAAAATTGAGCCCGGTAACCTGGAAAAACAAGTTTCACCAAATGTTGCCACTTCAGTGGGACAAGGGCAGGTATAAATATGAAGGCTTACATATTTTTCTCTCCTCCCACCTCTACACCCAAGACTTTTCAAAGAGATGGATTATTTTAATTTCCCGTCCCTGTCAAATTAATAATAAAAAATAGGCCTAGGCTCCAAACTGCTTTATCTTACTAAACAGTTTCCTCAGGCATTTTCTTTGAAGAAAATTCCTGCATTACCCAGTCTTCACTTAACCAAAGTTTTATTATATGTTTTTTTCTTTCCATCTGCTATTTATCTATTAGAAAATGCAACACTAAACTCCCCGAAAACAAAGAGCTCACACGGCTTAAATTTATTAATTCAAAAATAGTAATTCATTTTGCTTCGCCTGACCCTCACAGAGAAATAATTCACAAGGAACTGAGAAGCTCACTTTCAGTGGGGCTAAACTTCAATTTTGCAGCTCTTTATCTAGCTATGTTTATTACTTGGCATTGAACATTAATTGCTCAGCTGATGGATTAGGCTGAGTTTGAAGATATGGTGAAAAGACGCATATTGAGCACCAGTTTCAGCTGTTTCCACACACAGGCACAGGTTCAGCAGGGGTTTAGCTCGGGCTTTGAGATAATCCACATCTGACAAACCAAAGCAGGGCAAGAAGCACCAGTCCCTCTCATGACATGTGCCAGTATTTTAGGAAGAACACAAATCCCACCACCTCGCCAAGCTCTGAGCAAACAAGCAGATATGTTAAAACAAAAAAACTTTTAAAAAACCAAACAATTAAAAAAAAACCCAAAAAAACCCCAAAACCAATATATATATATATATATATATAAAACACGTAAGGACACAGTTCCACCTAAAATTCAGAAGCCACTCTACACCCTCAGCCAGCACTTACAAATCTACTGGTTTGTGCTCCATCAGCACCACGTCTACAAACCACATTTGGAAAAGAAAAAGGGCACAAAGAGCTTCACAGGAGTCACCTGTACTTTTAATACCACATTGCACATTAAAAAAAAAAAAAAAAAGCCTCTCAAGACTCATCAGCTCACTTCTTTCACTCATTCATTTGGGATTTTTTGAAGTTTAGTGGGGGGGATTTATTTTGTCCTTTTTGGGGAGTCTTTTTGTTTGTGGGGTTTTTTGTTTGGTTTTGGAGGGGTTGTTTTGCTTTCTTTTTTTGTTTGTTTGCTTAATCATTTGGGTTTTTTGTTTTTTGTTGTTTTTTGGTTTGGGTTGGGATTTTGTTTTGGGGGGGGTTTTGGTTTTGTCTTTTGGGGGTTTTTGGTTTGTTTTTAGGGTTTTTTTTGTTTGTTTGGTATGTTTTTGTTTTTCTTTTTTTGGTCCACAGTATTGACTGTGCAAAAAAATAAAACCCAGAACAACAAAACCCTACTCAAAAATTTAACCCTCACCCAACAGGCTTGATGCCAAGCAGGGGGTCAACTCCAGGAAAACAGCTTTTCAGTCCTAGTGCTCCTTTACAGCTCCTAAAAGAATGCTTGCATGGGACTGAAAAGAAACCTGCAGACTGAGATGAGGGCACAGCAGGGGCACACCAGTGCAAAAATGCCACTGGGACTTGAGCTGACAGGGCAATTAGGCTCCCATTAGTAAAATACAGCACAAAACTTCTTTGCCACTGAACCGGGCAGACGCAGGTCTGAGATCTTAAAATGAGAATTGCAACAAAGCAGAGATGTGAAGCCCCACACAGGTCTCAGGGTGCCGTGTAAAGGATGTAAATTGTTCCCAGGTAAGTTAATGACGGCATAAAAAATGGTGAGTGGGGTACAGAAAACAGCACAGAAGGGATAAGTATTTTAAAAACAAGTCTCAGTTTGTGCTGGGGGGCGCTTTACCTTTCTGGCTCCCGACTGCAGCTGCACACCTGAAACACAACAGTGAGCAAACACAATGACCCTGAAATAATGCAGGTACATGAACATAAAAAAAACAGCCTTTGAGCACAGGAGTCACCTCTCCACACCTCCAACAACCTGTTACAGTGCAGTTTTAGATAAAGAATCTGCCACTGCATTTTCCCCTCTGTCAGTGCTACAAATGCCCTTACTTATTTTGCACTGACAAAAGTATTCAAACTCAAAATTACGAACCTCAAATTAAGACTACAGTAAAGAATTCCTCCTCCACCTCTTTACTTAAAAAAAAAAAATCTGGTTTTAGGATAGTCAGAGTTAATTAAAAAAAAACCCTGCAGCAGACAAGAGCAAACAATTATAAAATATAAGGCACAATCTTTATCTATAGGATTTCTCTGATCAAGGCACAGGGGAGAAAACCCTCCTCTCTCACGGTCTTCAGGAGATCACAAAACATTATTCAGGTAGGTGTATTTCCAAGACACACAAGAATGCTTCAGCTAGTTCCCTGCCTCTTGCTTCCTAAAACAATTATCCTCAATGTCAGCTTTCAGAGAAATTAGCATTTCTGCCCCATCTCCTGATCTGTGGCTGCTGCGTGCTGGACTCTGAAAATTAAGGTTCATTTTCTCAGCTGGAGTAATTTAATATAAGCCTCCACAACAGAGTCTGATGCTTCCCTGCTTGGCTCAGCCAGCACAAACCTCTCCCCAGGATTTTGTGAGGTTTCACCCCAAGCCTGACACAGCTGAGAGCGTTTGGAAAGCCCCAGGCTCTCTCTTTTCCTGTCCAGCTTCTGTGCTGAAAAGGGTGGCCTCTAAGACCCTTTTGTAGACCTGTAAACAAACAATCCCTTTCATAATTATTTGAATCATTTATTATTATTATTAAAAAAAAAATAAAACCACAAAAAAAGCCCAACAAACGCAGCCTGTGATAGGATATACAGCCCCACTCTTCCTCTGGTTGCATTAATTTTTCTGTCCCAAGACAGCAAGCAATTTGGCTGATGTCTAGATCAAGGGCACAAAAGTCCTCAGTCTCTACAGTCTTAGAAGTCACATCAGATCAGTCTCCCTTTTTTTCTATTTATTTTACAATCTGTGCTCTAGCTGTCTGCTCTGCTGGAGGACGCCCCATCCCAGAAAAGCCACCTAACAGTCGGCAGAGCAGATGGAGAATATATTCCAGTGCTTTCCCAAGCTTTGTAAATTTGGGCAATTTAATCAAAAATGTTTTGTGAAATCACGAGTACACCTTAGAAAGCAGTACACCAGAGGACCTTGCTCAAGGCATACACTTAATGATTTTTATTTTTTTTCCAACTTGGAACCTTTCCTGTAAGACATGTTCTTTTGTGTTGATCAGATTTGACTGTGTTAGATTAGCAAACAACAGTAATTTGTTTAATAATTATCTCCTAAATTTTGCCTTAGCTTGTGTCAACATGGCACCATACATAATTCAGCAAGTCTTTTGTACCTTGACATATCTTAGACAGCAATCCTTACCATTTGAATTATCTGATACTATGTTCTGTGAATAATCCTCAAATTCACGGGAGGTTTTTGCCACCTTTCCCTTTTTTCCATCTCATATTCAGAGGAAAACAACGTGGGGAAGAGACTAAGCTCCACAAGACAAAGAGCAGGAAATGAAGGCCATTGTTTCCTAACCCAGGAAAGGGACACAGCTCAAGCCAGAGATACACCTAGACAAAATATTAGTTTTGGTGGAAAAATAAGTAATTTCAAGAACCATTTAAGGTTATTTTACAACAGCTGTCTAAATTGGAATCTTGGTTATTTAGTGATGTTCGTTCAGAATTTATGCACACTATTTTATGTGTTCCCTACAAGCAAGCACTACATTACATTTCTGCCAAATATAACAGTGAAGAAATCACAGCTGCATCCTACTAACCTTGAAGAATCAGATAATGGTTTTGAGTCCTTGAAAATCTCACCCTCAACTCTGGGTGGTTCCACTTACTCAAGGACGTGTGCTGCTTTTTCATCTGGGGCTCCTGAGCTCTAACATAACCCCTGAAAAACATTCTCCACCTCCTGTTAAGCCCTGGGTGACAAGAGTTAGGGATTAAAATTTCTCATCCTCAAGTGGCACTGCAAGATAACGAGGACATCAGAAACAGGCATTGAGACAAAACAGCAAAGTGACCCTGCAAGGCCCATGGCACACCCAGGAGCACATAGCACAAATATTTGCTATACTGCTTTAATGAAGCCAACACTCAGCACAGAAAAACACCTTAAATTACCTCATCTGTACTGAAATGGATGAGTTTTGGTCAAAACAGAGCATTGTGAGACATCCAGTGTTGCTGCACACCAGCAGCAGGAATTGTCTGTGTCAGGAGATGCAGAGGTTACCCATGTCAGGCACAGCATCACGATTTCTGCAGCAAGGAAATCACACCTGGGGCGTTTTTACAATCTGGAGTACCTTGCTAAGTGATGGAATATCCTTTGCATCAGCCCATCACTCGTATACACACGAACTCTGCCACAAAAAGCAGAAATATTAAGGTGTAGGAACTCCCACTGCTGTAGGAACACTCCCCAGCACACATCACTCTGTGCAGTAACTTTCTATTCAATCTCTGGTTAAAATACCAGGCCGAAGCACCCCTGACATGAAGAATGAGGTTCATTCCTGCTCAGAACAGCTGCAAACTCCAAGCATTTCACAGCTATTGTGATCCATCCTCCTGCAGTAAATATCATGTGGCTTCTGGTAGGTGACAGGCACAGGCAGAGAAATTAAGATCAAGAGGAGCCAAACCGAAATGTAGATGGTTTGGTTTTGTTTTTCCTTCAAAACAGCGTTAGCAAACAAAACACCAGGCTCTAATTACCACTGTCAGCAACCTACCCACAACAGGTTTGCCTGCAAAATGCATATCCCTCACGTTCCACCACCTCTTTACTCCAGACGGAGAGCAGAGCAAATCTGTAGCAGTAGCAAAAATGCAAGTAAGTTTATAACCATTCATGCATGTGTTTGAAGATACTGGGAACAACAGATGTGGGCACCATGTAGCAGCCAAAGAAAAGCAGTAACAGCTTTTTGCCACTCACTCAAACGAGCAGTTCTCAAAAAAACCCTCAAGTAACTGCATTTATACTTTATTTTCGTTTTTTTTCTACCTCATATACATACATGGATGTGCTAAGCACAGAAATTTACTTATACAGATGTACCTGTCATGTCAGTCACCCACCTGTGATATTTTTAAAACCATGTCCTCCAATCCTCCTCCTCATGAAAGGTAAAACACACAGAAGATAAAAACCAAGGCTTCCACATGCAATTGTCATTGTTTTGTGGTAATTCTTAAACCTTTTTTACTTTAGACACAAATTCCTTGGTGTGCTCTACTACTCAATGAACAGTATGTAAGCCTTTCACCACTAAAATATTTCTCAATACCAGGAAACATAGCCTTCGCCATGAGCCCTCCTCTTAACAGACCTAATAGCAACAAAGAAAACAGTATTCATCCTAAGATTTTATTTACATATCTGAATATTGCTATGTAGGTCAACGTAGTTGTTTAAACTTAATTTTTTTTTATTTTTCACAAGTGTGGCTACCCAGCCCATTCCTGCGGACAACACCAACCAAGCTGTCCCAGCTCCTCAGAGCTGCTTTTCCATGACAAGATATTAACTAGGAGTTAAAAAAAAAATACAAGGGAAACTGAACAATACCATCTGAAAGCTGATATTCCAGTCAGTATGTCATGCCTATCACAGCTGTATTCCAGAAGACAATTCCAAGCTTGGTACACCAGTCTTTTAAATTATGCCACCAAGGTTCCCACAAAATCTTTAAATGGCATTTTTTTCCCACCACAGCAGGTTATTTACCTGAAATAATTTTAATACAGCACATGATCAATAAAAATTCCTCTTTTTTATAGCTGAGCCTGTTGGAAACATCACCTGGAAATTAAATGTATAGAGGAAATAAAGAGCATTTCTTGAAAAAATCTGCAATAGGTTTCAGGTGGGAGCTTGCCAGAAACTATCAAAGTAGAAAAAAAAATTTAATAAATCTATCATAAAAGGGCACGTTTGCAAACAAAACTGCACTAGAGGAAGCTAGATGACCACCTGAAAACAGGCTTGGCTGTGGTGTGAGCAAGGACTGACAGCTGGAGTCTCCCCAGACATTACAGAATATTTTCAATTTTAGTTTATAATTCCCACTGAGAATCCAAAACTGAATCCAAGCAGGCAAAACAACTCAGTTTATGTTTTCTATCTCCAACATACATAACAAAAAGTTCAAAAGCATTATCATGTTGACAATCAGAGGCTGTACTGGTCAGTGATTATACTAACAACTTATTTCTCTTTACAAACATACTTTAATGTAGCATCATTCAAACACTTCAAAGTTAAATTAACCCTAGGTAATAATGCCATTTTTAGAACTTTAGTCTTTATGCACTTAGTTTTTTTTAAATCTAAAACCTTGACATGTGATGGAAAGAAACCAATCCAGTGAATGTAATTCACTGAACATGTTGTGAGAAAATGAGCACACAGCAAGATGCTGACTACCTGTTAGATGGATAAATCTTCAACTGAACAAACCTTTATAGTCACTAAACAATCTAGAGAAAAAGCACAATCAATCCAGAACCAACACAGTGCCTGAAGCCTACAGGACAGAAAAAACAACTGCATAAGAGAACCCACCTCAAACTCTACCCCTGCTCATGCTGGTACCATCCCAGGTACGTTTTGATTATTGTGAATCAGAAACCACGATTTCACAGAGCTCTGCCAATTATAGTGACCAAATCTACCACTGCTAAGGAAGCTGCTCTGTAGAAGACATAAAGAGCATTTTAAGTGCATTGTGTAGGTTTCACTCATCTTAGAACTCCTCTGCTTCAGTAAATCACTGCAATAATTCCATGGGATAAATGCATTTTATACATGTACATCAACTCCCAGCCTCACATAGCAGCTGCACAAAGTATGTCAAATGTTACCTCAAAATGTCATTTCAGAGAGGAAAAAAAATCTGTTTCTCCTCACCAAAGCAAAAAAAAGCAAAATCTGTCCTGCACTGAGGGTGCAGAAACACAGACCCTAAAACCAATTCATCACGTTGGGAAGGGGTGATGCTTTTAAAACGTTTCTAAGGAGGAACAGGTTCCTCATTAAACTTCAGGTGTTTGTTATAACAACAACACTGAGGCCCTTAAAGCCATGACTGTGAAGTTCTTGCACAGAACTCACTTCACTGAGTTCTCACGTAATGAAAGATTATCCCCTTAAAAAAACCAACCAAACAAAAAGCCTTCTGGAGGGAAAAAAAAAAGGAAATTCTTGGGCAGATACAGCTACAGAAAAGATGATTAAAAGCTCTGTAAGGAGAAAACGTAGCACAGGAGCCAAAATAAAATATGCCAGGGGAAGATAGTCTGGGATTCTCCCTATACAACAACAGAAGTAATAGTAAGAGGGCTTTAATTATGAAATAGCCTCATTAAGGCGTTCTTTATGTTATTAAGGCTGCAGTAGCCAGTGGCTCACGCCGGCAGGAACGTGAGGGCGAGGCAACACTCCCTCGCCTCACAGCTACAAATAACAACGAACAAGCAAAAAAAACCAACCAAAAACACACCAAAGAGAAACAGTTGGGATCTTTTGGGGTTTTTTGCTGCTCACTGAAGATACGTGGTCCCCATGGCCCGGGCTGATCCCAGTGATCCCGGTTGTCCCCACACGGGAACACGGTCGGCGCCCCCCCTCTCCCCTCAGTGCCGGTGCTGGGCTGAACCCGGTGATCCCGGTTATCCCAACAAAGAGACACGGGCACCCCCAGCTCCTCTCATTCCCGGTGAGTGATCAGTGAAGGGTTGATCCCCTTTATCCCGGTTTTCCCCACACTGGGACACGGCTCCATCGCCCTTCCCCCCCCACCAATTCTCCTCAGTCCCGCCCGTGCCCGCGCGCGCGGGGCGGGCCGCCCGACCTACCTCCCGCGCCGCCACTTCCGCCTGCGCAGCGCCAGCCAATCAACGCCGCGTCCGCTCATCCGTCCCGCCCCCCACCGGCCCAGCTGGCCAATCGCAGCTCCCCGCGGCGTCGCCAGCCAATGGCGGGCGTGCCCGCGCCCCGGCGCGCTGAGGGCGCGCGGTGCGCGCTTCCGCCCATCGCGGCGGCCGGAAGGTGATGTGGCGGAGCGCGGCGCGATGGTAAGCGCGGGGCCTGCCGGCCCTGCCCGCTCCGGGACCGGGCCCTTCCCGCTCCCCTGCCTCTCCGCGGCCCTGCAAGGTCCCCAGTGCCGCCTCCCGGCCCGGGCGGTACCCCCAGAGGTCGCTCGCGTCAGAGGCCGCGGCCCGCGGGAGCGGAGCCGCCGCGACGCGTTGCTGGGAGTAGCGCGGGGCGGGTTTGCGTCAGGGGTTTAGTGACAGGAAAAAAAAAAAACGTTTTGTGGCAGTGCGGGGCATTAGCAGCCGGTGCGAGGTCGGTCAGGTGCTGTGCGTGTGTCTCACGGCCTTCTGACGTCATTCTTGTGACTTGTGACGTCATGATAGCTGTATGTGACGTCATGCTCATGGAGCAGTGCTATGAGCCTTAACATTGGCTGCTCGTCAGGGGTGTCATCAGAGAGCCAGGTCCATTTACTCATGAAAACTATGGATTATATATAAAACTGCATTATTTGTGCATATATATATAAAAAGTTATACATTTAAATATGTGCATATATAGATATATACATATATAGTATATGTATATATATGACCTTTGTTTTCTATTTATAACAAAATTTTTATGTTTACAGCATATATATATAATTTTTAAGAATATGAAAGTATATGTAATATAGCTTCCAATATAATTACATATTTTTTAATTTATTCATACCTATGTAAAGAGCTAAAGCATGTAAATACACAAAAAACAGGTAAGTACATCTGGAAGACAGTATCTATGCTTATATATGAGTTTATTATGTGTATAACAAATACATGTGGATATAAAGAAACTTACATGGATGTTTATAGATGTATGAAAATATATAATTGAATATTTTATATGTTATGTTGCATATATTGCCAATATACCTTTTCCTATAAACTACACACATAAAGGGTGTGGGTATAATTAAGTATAAATATATATATATAAAATATATGTGTATAGAGGGACATTGGGTGTTTTTTGTTTTGTTTTCTGCGCATTTTTCCAGTCTCTGTGCAGGTAATGTAAAAGAACAGTTTGCATTTCTGTCATAGTTAAAGCTGAGCAGTGAAGTAATTTTTTTTTAGTCAAGTTTATACATTAAATGTTTATGTATCAACGATATTTATATGAGCAGAGCAGGTTCATGAGTTTAAAATTAATAGGAAAAGCAAACTGAGTTAATGTAAGTTTTTCCTATACAAAATACACGTTTGTCCGTAACTTCAACACAAAGTTTGTTTTGAGATGAGAATTTTTTACGTTTTGCTAATAATCAGAACGTGGTTTGGGTTGAAAGGGACCGTCAAAGATCACCTGGTCATCCCCCCCATGAGCCTTGACAGGTTATCCATCATTGTATGGATGCTGTACAATTTAATGGAATACTGCTGTATTTCTTGTGTGTTTACACTAAAGATCAGTATCACTTGAAGTTTCTTGTGGCTCAGTTCAAAAACGGGTTCCAAGGCTCCAGGTCTTGTCACCAGCAGGAAATTGCTGGGAGTTGCTCACCTGAGCATTCCTTGGCAGATCTTTCAGATGAACCTGCTCTAGTCTGGGGCTCCAAGCAGAAAACAAAGGAGTTTTTTTGTGATGAGAGGCATAAATTATCACAGGAGATCTAAAACACACGTGCAGAAAGCAACAGATCTCTAATTAGCACCGTGGAAAGGTGAATATAGAGAATTACAGCAGCACCTCATTCTTCTTTGTTGTACTTAAAAGGGTTTGAGGTGATAGGAAAAGACAAGAGAACTTGGTGAGACATTGGTGTTGCTCAGTATAATGATTAAATGCAACCAATCACTTAATATTATATTATTATGTTACTTACATTTTATGTATTTCATAAGTGATATATAAGAAATATATAGCAGTAACTTAAAAACAAAGGTAATGTTTAAATTTAAGGATATTATGGCAAGTGTATGAGATTCTGTTAAGATTATCTTCTCCACTTATCCCTGTTCCTTGCTAGAGGTTACTCTGTGTGCCTCAAGGACCCTCAAGCAAGAAACTCTTCTCAGGATGGTTTGCTTATGATTTAATGTTGAAAATAAGGTGAAAAAAGTTTTTTCAGCTTTATTGTGATGTTTGAATTTCTTCAAGAGAGGAGCAACCCTCCAGGGCTTTGGCTCCTCCATGATGCCACTTCTGGCGTCAAGGCATTTTAGGGGAAAAAAAAAAGATAATTTTTGAGCTCACATTTGACTGTGAGAGAGGAAACAGCTGCTGTCTGTGTGTCATGAAATGGAAGAGAGTAGGGCTGCATCTCCAATTTATTCTCCTTGTCCAAAGAGTAAGAGCTGCAGTTCTGGCAAACCAGCAGCACTCTGAATAGCAGAGTTTTCTGAAGCATAATTGCAAAGGACTTTATCCCTTGAAAACTCTTCATCCCATTGTTTTCCAGGCTTCCTTACCACATCCTTCCTTGCTGAGCAGGTGAAAACTTGTGCTGGGTGAATGGCCAGCTGCTGCCAAACAGGGAAAAAAAAAAAAATATATATATATATATATATGTGTGTGTGTGTGTATATATATGTAAGGTGACTTTTACCTGTCTTTTTATGTAAAAGCAGAAATCGTGGGATTTTTTTTTCCTATTCACTGGCAGTGGATAGGAGAAGAGCACACCATTTTGATTTTAAGCAAAACCCTCACTATTTTAACTTAAAGCAGCTATGGCAGCCAGTAGAGGTTTCTCAATGGATTCCAAACTTGCTGGAAATGGGAGGGATGCACAGCTCCCTCATTTCTTTAGGAGCAGGATGTATCTTGTTTGCAGATTTGTACAAATCAGTTTGTCCTGCCAGCTTTCATGATTTTCATATCTGAAAGCTCGAAGTTTTCCTGATGGGCTTGGAAAGTTTGGCACATGCATGGATGGAAAGAGGGGAGAAACCAAAGGTAACATTAAAGTTAATGAGGAACCCCTCACCTCCTGAAGGGTGATACTCACTTTCCTTCATAGCAGAAATGTGAAGTTCCACTCAGACAAAATTTGATGATGAAGAAAACTTAGAAGTGCAGGAAACTTCTTTTCTGGCTTCTTCCCCATCACCCTCTGGTTGGGCTCATCCTGGCCCCACATTACTACCCAAAAATTGATTTGGGAACTTTCCACGAGGACAAACATTTCTGTCACAGTCTTTGTTGCTCTCTTAGTGTGGGGTTAATAGAAGGAAGGGGAATTGCTCATAGAGCCAATTGTAAAAACATTCATTAGTAAATATTATTTCAAACAAAGCTGTCAGATATAAACATACCAGAACCCAAGACACTGCTCTGAAAAGAGGAGTCTTCAAGTACAAAGTTTTGTGTTTGTCTTACCCAGAATTACAAGAAGGAATCAATCCTGATTAAGATTTGGTAACAGCTTTGTTTTTATTATGACCTAAAGGCACATCGGTTTAAAAGCGTCTTCTAGGCCATCTTACATTCTAAAGTGTCTTTGTATTGTGAATTTGTTTCACCTGAAGTGTTCACTGTAGGCACTTCTTCCGTCTTAGAGGATGATGTGAAAATACACTGTCCATGTTTTATTTCTGTGATTACTGAACTGAGGAAATTATTCTGTCAATGCAAGATGGTCTCTTTTTGGAAGAGTAGGATGCAGTGAGTCTACTTTAACAGATTTACCCAGAATCACTCTGGTTGTGAGAAACCATTTCTTTTCTGAGTGCCATAAAAAGGTGAATGTCGCAATTTTAATTTTTTTGGTTGCCTGCAGCATTAGACACCACAGGCATTCATTTTAACAGATCCAGCACTGAATGTTTTTCTGCTAATGCACAGAGCTGGGCGTTCAAACTCAACAGAAGTTTTTGATTTTCAACCTTGTGACTGTGGAAACAAGGTGGGAACAGCTGTGAAAAGTATTACCTGTCTTCTAGATGCTAAATATTCAAACCATGCACCTGAACCTCTGCCAAGCAAGAGACTTGCAGAGGTGCTGTGGACCTGCCCAGGGCCATGGGACATGACAGACTTAGCAGAACCTGTCATTATTTCTTGACTGAGTATATTTTTTCCTGATATTTGTTTTCCATGCTTTAAAGAGATGAACAAAAAAAAATTGGTAAACAGTATACCTAAAATATTTAAAGCTCTGTTTTGTAGTTCTTAGGTAAACTAGAATACATTTTCCTTTTTGAGAACTTAGACTTTTTCCCATAGCCATGTTCACACATTCCTGTAGCACGTTCTGTTACAAACTCCTAATTTTTGCATGCTGCTTTTATTACAGAAAGGATATCACCTAATTCAAAGTGTACTTTTGTAGGACTCTCACCTCTTCCATTCACACACAGGGCTTTTACAGTTTTTTCAGTTTCAGTACAAAATTCGTGTGTGTGGTGTGCAACTTCAGAAAGGAGACTTACTTAAAAAAGGGATTATTGGGTTATTTAAAATATTCCTTATATCTAATGGGAGAAGACAGCAGAGGAAAAATACCTCTGTAAAGTTTAACACTATAATCTACAGAGAAAACGTGGAGGAAAAGGTATTATAAGATTTTACTGACATAGCCACCATAATTCTGTTTGTCTAGTAAATATGTAAACATGCACACCTTTGTGTTACAGTGACTCTGGTAATAGATTTCAATTGTCACTTTGTTTTTTATAGTAAGATATTTTGGTGAAATGCTGCTTCTTGCTGCAAAAGTTCACTTTTCAAACTAGGTATTTGTATTTGGGAAAAAGGGGAAGGAATTGAAGCAAGTGTAAAATTTCTTCACCATCACCTTGACGTGTCTTTCATCTCTTGTCTGTGGATTTTAATTACAGTAAAAATCCTGAATGTGTTAAAGTCAAGTGAGCTTTTTTTGAATAAAAAGACAAGGACAGGGCAACTGTGTCCATAGGTTTAATTATTGTTTAATTGTTTGAGGTGATTGGTTATCAGTTTCAAATAGATGTATTAGTCTTCAGTTCAATGGAAAGCATACATGTTAGTTGTACTTGCCATTTAAACTTGACAATGTGCTTCTCCAGGAAATGAGTAGGAAAAAAATTCCCTGTTTCTCCAATCAAGCCTTAGCTTATATTCCATGAGTGCAAAAATACGTATTTTAGACAGAAATCTGAGTGAATATTAAATATTGTATTTAAATATTTGGAAGCAAAATGCTGAAGAGACCATGCTGTAAATCCAAAGTGAAAAACCCTATTTATGGTGGAACAAACAACTACATTGGCTGTTTTTTGGATACTTACTAACACCCCTTGCTTAGTTTTGTTGGGTACTTTTGCCAATAATTGCTTCAAACTTAACTAATTTGTACTTTCTGTAATTTTTATAGTACTAATTAGCATGCCTCTTCTACAAATGCTTGTTTTCCATTCATTTTGATCAGATTGCATTTGGCAGCAGTGGGAAAAGTAATTATTTTTAATATATTGGAAAATAATACAGTTAGATGCATATTTTTATTAATTTTTAGAAATTGCTTTGGCTTTTGCGTTGGGAGTAGTACTACATGAGTTATGGCCTATTATTTTTCTCAGTATTATAGTCCTAAAATTTTGATTTTTACTGACGAATTAAGAATTGCAGGGCCTAATGGAAACCCTGGATAATAAGCATTTTTCAGCTTTGTAAGGACCTCTTCATTAAAATTTCATAGCTTGATTTCACTTTCCTGTGACGAAATTTTTATCAGCTCTTGCTTAACTAAAGTTTAACTGCAGTATGTAAGCTCTTGCTCATACTCCAGTATAAGAAAGGCAGCTGAACAATTGGGCATCCATATTTGTTTATCTCCAGAAAACATAATAATTCATCAATTTCATTGGATTAGGGAGGAAGAGAAAGAAAACCATTCCAGAAAAACTGAACATTTTGCACACAAAGATTATACCTATTTTAAAGTATTCCAGTTACTAATCTGTGTTTGCCCGCATAAATTGGTTATTATATTTATAACCACAGGGCAAAGTTTTGCAACTTACTGGCACTATAATGACCTCTTGCTTTTATAGCACAGATGGATGAAATCATCACGGTCACACTGCAATCAGAGATAAAATAATCATTTTGTAAATACTTAGAAGTCTAGGGAAGGTTGAGCTTTGGTTTCAGTGCTAATTCTGCTGAGATAAACTCAAAAGGACAACAGCATAGGGTTTATGTTCTTCTTCTGCACATTTTGTTTCCCCTGGAACCTTGATGCCCAGTGGTTTATTTTAAACAAAAGTGTATGAGGCAAGGGGAAAATCAGCAAGTACTTTGTGACACAGAGAGTTGGATCAAAACCTTGGATGTGATTTATTACTGTGCTACCCATGGTTTGCATCAGTAAGTGGTTTGTGAGTGTGGTGCTGTCTGCAAGGACTGGGAACAAAACTGTGTCTGAAGCACAGAATATTGGGGTAAAAATTAATCCAGAGCCTTGTCTATGGCTGTTGTCACTGCAAAAAAAAGTGTTTAGAATTAGTGCATTCATTATGACTATTTCTGCATATTGGATTAAATAGTCTTGTGAAGTGGAAGACCTGTTGATAAGCACAACTCTGAGCTGCCCCTTTTTTTTTTTCTTCTGCCCAATTTTAGTAAATTTATTGCTGAAGGACAACATTATTTATATGGAGGTTTACAGGAGCTGTGCAACTGTTGTCATGATTCCCTGTCACAGCCACGTAGGTAACTTTTAGCTTTCAGTCAACACTTACTAAAGTACATTAAACTTCAGTTTGTACTCAGATGGGAGTATATTCAGACATCTCGAGCTGAACCACTTGATTTCCAATTACTGTATATTCCCATGAGTATTTATTTTAATACAAACTACTGCTGTTAATCCCAACACAATAAAACTTTCAGGAGTATTAATTCTTTATGGTTTATTATATGGAGTTTTTACTGAGATAGGTTATGATCAGGAAATAATATTGAGGCTTTTTTTAAAGGCCTGGTTTTGGGAAGGATTTAAAACAGCCTTTGGGCTTGTAGCTCTCAGAGCTGAAGTCCATGGCCTGAAATTGCCAAAGACGTTGGAAAAAACTTGGCTCATGCAAGTTCAGGTGAATACAGTACCTCGTTAGTGCTGCAGGTGATGGGGTGATGCTCTACACAGGAGGGGAATGACACAGAATGGAGCAATGAGGTGTTCCCACTATGTCAGAAATGCACCAATTGCAGATGTAGAAAATCTTAGCCCTTGGAATTAACACTTGCATGGTCTAAAACCAGAATAAAATGTGATTGCTGGTTCTTTCTGGCCTTGTAGCATGAGTCTTAGGAGGTTGGTTGTCAATTCACCCTCATGGGGACACAGTCTTAAGAGCCAGCAGCAGTTCCTGAATGTGCTGAGATCTCTTTGTAGTGGGGATGAGGCTCACAGGACCTGCCGTAAGCCAGTCAACACAAGTCAAACATTGCAATTCATACGTTTTCATCAGAGGAGCCCAGTCTAAACAAATGAACTGATCTACATTGTCCAAGTAGCTTGGCGTGTGAATGCAGCGTTTTTTTAAATGCAGAGTTTTTGATGTGAATGCTGTGTTTTTTATCTGAGCAATGTATAACTCTTGCAGCAGTTTTTAATTACATCAGTTGGAGCAGCCAGATGTAGGTTGCTGCTTTCTGTGAATTCAACTGGGCCATGAGAATTATTTAAGATGTGAGGAGCGAAGCCATCTAATTCAGGAACAAATCCTCGTTTCCAGAAACTGTAAGCAAATTTTGGAATGCTCACATCTGTCCTTTCAAAGTGGCCGTGCAGATAAACGTGTCATTCAGAGCACGTTTCGGTGGAAGGGCAGATGCAATTACAGCAGCACATATCTGGGGAAACTCGTGAAGACCCCAACAAAGAGCAATTATACACGATTATATACTGCCCCAGTTGACTGACTGACAGCACATTTCATGAGTATACATTTACAGGAGGAAGCAAGTGTGTCCTTGTGCCGTTCTTGCAGGGTCGGAGTGCCCGGCGCCGCCTCTCGGGAAGCAGCTGCAGGAATTCTTGGGAATTCATGGGAATTCATGGTGGCTGGCAGGCTCAGAGCTGTGAGCTGTCACAGCAGCTGTCTGTCCCGCAGGACTGATCCAATTAATCAGTTGATAGGCAGTATCTGGCTGTTCCTAGACCCACAGGAGCCAGGGGGAAGTGAGGGAATTGAGACTTCCCTGGTTTGTGGAGCTGGCAGAAGCTTCTGCTGAGCACAAAGGCTCCAGAGGCTGCTACAAGGAATGGCAGTGTTGTCTTTTGTGAAGAGTCTCCCCATTATTTATGGCATGACGGGGCAGAAGGGGTGGTTAGCTAAGCTAAAACTCTAAATTAAACATGATTTAACAAAAGCTGTGCCACAGGAGAGAACCAAGCAGCCTCATGTTTGAGACAGGAGGGTCTCCACACCTGTTTGGGTGTGGGATCACTGCTCCCTCATCACAGAAGGGGTGGGTTTCAGGGGTGCTGAAATCTGTCCTTTGCAGGGTGCAGAGTCAGAGCATCTCTGTGATGATGCTTCTTGACAGAGTGGCTGGTCGACCCCATTGAGTTAGATACTGAGATTACTTTAGATAGCTAACCCTGCCTAAAGCATGTATTTAGACTGGCAGCTCTGTGCATGTTCTGGAGTTCACATGATTCATGGAGACTTCTACATAAGCTAAAGGGGTTTTTTGGGTTGTTTGGCTATTGATTTTAGGGAGTTTTGGTCACCAGGTTTTTGATCTCAATATCACAACATTGTGTGTGTGTGTGTGTTCCAGTGGCTTTCCTTCTATTAGAGCTTCTCGGTTTTCTCTCCTAATTTCTTGCTAGTGCCATACTGAACTAGGATATCGTGACTTTCTTTTATAATTCCCATCAGCTAGATAGTTTTGATTATTGGGGCTTCAAAACATTATAATTTTGTGACATAGGAAGAAAGCATGTGTGCATCAGCAGGGATGTGCCTCAGGCTACATGGAAATGAAGGCTCTGATGTGCCCTAAAATATGCTTGGAGAAGGAAATGCCAATGTAATATCCCTTCCTAAGTGCTAAATATTTACCTTTAATTAAATACTACTACTCAGCCAGCTGAGTTGAGAAGTACGAGCACAGGAGATAGAAATTCATCAGAATTCCTGAACAAAGAGTGAATTTATCGCATTTGCTTTGACTTTTTTTTTTTTTTTTTTAGCTCACACTAAAAGAGATATGCAAATGAGTGTAGCAGAGTGAAGGTAAAATAAAGCTTTCTGAAGTAAGAAATTGCCTATTACACCCCCTGGTGCTGTTACACTGACCAGAATGTCAGTTGAGACACTTAGGAGAAGCCTCAAAACTGTAAAAGGTTAAAAGAAAGGTTTATGGGATGCACTTAATTTACACTTTAGTAAATTGCCAAATACTGCAGCAGTTTCTCAAGAATTCTTACTGCTACTAGGCTGATCAGTGTTTGCTGTCGACAGTAGGACTTCTCAATCCTAAGGCATTTTCATCCATTTCTTCAGGATTTACCATATAACTAGCATTTCTGAAAGTACTTACAATAAAGACGTTTTCAATTTAAAATAGAATGTTATTTGAAAATAAAAGTAATCAGTTATCATAGTGCAGGTGGGCTTAACTGTATATATTCTACAAATCTTAAATTTGGCCTGTAGCCTTTAAAAAGTGGTATATTAACAAAGCTCCTTCACATTTTGGGTTATTTTTTGTCTTGGTTATTACTGGTTTACTTGCCAGTCAGTCCTTGCTTCTACTTTAACTACCACCACAGTATTTCATTGAAATTCCATTCCATGCAAAGTTTTTCTGGCTCATGGCCATTGTAGGTTTCGTTTCTGGTGTTGTCTTAAGGAGTTACCCATTTTTTCCAGAACCTCCACTTTGAGAGAAGTTCTGCACTGCAGAGGTGTAATTCTTTGTTTTCCCAATTCTCTTCCATAGTCTGCCATCTTCAACTTCCAGAGCCTGCTGACTGTGATCCTGCTGCTCATATGTACCTGTGCCTACATCAGATCCTTGGCTCCCAGCTTACTGGACAAAAATAAAACCGGGTATGTGATCATTTCAATCATCCTCATGTGTGGTTTCATCTGCAGCCTTTCAGCATCTCCCGATCAAGATAATGTGATAATGCAGATCCTGCTTTGAGAATTTTCTCTCTTTAAAGATAAAAATCTTAATTTTGTACCTCACAATACAGTGCAATAAGGTGTTGGCAAGCACTTAGCTGCAATTTTCTTTAAAGGATTTATTAGCTCACTAACCTTGCTAATACTGCGTTATTAATCTTGTAGATTTGTAGCTTCGTTGTTAGATGCTTATTAGAGATACAGAAATGAGAGACAGAAATGAAACATTCTCCTACATGTGGCTATTGTTGCAATGATTTATTTTTGATTCCTAGGGTGGGTAAGAAACCAGCAGAAACTAGCTTTTTGTTTGTTTTCAAGATAGGTGTTTTTCAGATACGAGTTTGAAACACAGCTTTAGCAGTAATCTGTAACTAAAAGAAAACTAAAAATATTTTTTAAAATAAGCAACACAGTCCTCATGTGTGGTCTGTTTAAATCATGGTTTTCTATTCTCTAAGGTGAAGGAATTTCTAGAGGAGTTTTTGAAAGCTTCTACAAACCTTTTTTTTTTTTTTTTTTAATCATATGGATGCTAGCTGTGATCAGCAGAACTGTGATTTCAATGTGATGGGTTTTGAGTAACCACTGGTCAGTTGTGACACAGAAACCTCTGGGGCTGTCCACAGAACTTCTGTCATGCTGTCACCTAAGGTTACTGCAAAGGAGATGATATTTGTAGAAACAGGAGGTGATTCTAGGTGGAAAAACAGACAGACTTTTGGATGCTAAGTTTGACTTCTCCACTTTTTCCATTAGGTAATTTCCTATTAAATGAAATGTTCTTCTTCCCTGTCTTCCATCACTTTTACATTTAAATTCAGAAGTGTCCAGTTTTAAATAGACTGTTGTGACCAAGAATCCTGTGTGTTTGTCTTCTGAAAACCTTCATTGTAATTAACTTTTGGGCTGCTGTTTTATTATCCAGTTTTTTTAGAATTTAGCAGTGTAAGATACCCAAAGTATGCCAGCTTTTTTTTTTCTTAGTTTGGAGTTCTGACATGAAAACACTTGTGTCCTTTTATATGAGGCCATGAAATTGCCACTGGCGTTAGAGATTTCTTTGGATGGAAGTAAAGATGGAAGAAAGGATGACTTCATGAAGGGCAGGGTGTGGGGGGACAAGGGGAGTTTGGGTGTCTGCTGCTGGAAGATAACACAATAGTCAATGAGGTATACACAGTAAGAAGTAAGAATGTTTATTTTACTGATTAAAATTTTAGTGCTGTTCTTGGCAAGGAGTATTTCCTTTAATCTGGAGCTACTCTGTTTATTCTTGAGGCAAATCTGTCTGGAGTACAATAGAACTCTCTTCATAAAACGTTTCCAAAGGGTGCTGACACTGTGGAGGAGTTGGGCGTTTGATGTGTAGGTTTGTATTTATGTAGATGTAGGACACGCCATTTTGTTTTATGTATATATGTATTTGTAGACTACTTTGTACTGGAGAGTAAAACCTCGGCCTGGAAGCAATGAAATTTGTTTCCTATATGGTAGATGTTTACATGGAGCTCGTATGGTGCTAAACTTCTGTCCCTCTCTTCTGATGTACTCCATGCTCCAATCGAAATGTCTGGACATGTGGGATAAAACAAATCCTAGTGATAGTTTGCCACAGAGATGCTTTTACCTCATCATTCCTGCTCCAAATCAAAGGCATGAAAAAATAGCAATAAAATACTAAACTGACGGAGAGTAGGAATTTTGATAGTTATTCACTGTATTTCTAAGTGAGTGGTAACTTTGCTGAGGATTTGGGTCTGTTGATAATAAGTGAAGAAATATATTTCTGTTGGTTGAAAGACCATTTCACAGTGATGTCACCCATCCTCATAACCCTGTATTTCCTCCCCCTCCTTTCTGCCAAAGTGTGTCTTTTCCTACCAAGCCAAGCGGAGCCTTAAACCTTAATTTTCCCTGAACGTTTCCATGTGCTCGGTCCTGAGCAACAGTGTTAAAGGCTGGGAAAGCAAGTGGGGATTTACTGTTTCATGCTAACTACAGGAGAGTGTGCACCACAACATAATTCTCTCCTCCCTGCTAACCAGAAAGATGTGTTAGTTCATGTGCAGCAGAAATCCCCTTTGATTTTCCATCAGCATTGCAGTGGGGATGTCTCACACTCCCTCCTGCAGTGGCACTGGGCTTCTCCTGGTGAACACATGGCATTTTGCAGCACACCCAGCCTTAGCAGTCGTCTAAAGCTCCACCAACTCCTCCTCTCAGCTTAAGAGGATCCATTTACTTGGGTTTTTTTGTTCTCCAGATAACCACCACCACTTCTTACGATGAGTTCTTTTAGCATTTAGAGAGCCAAGAATATGCAGCAGGTCGTGCACATTTGGGGCTGTGGCTGCCAGAAAGCAGCAGAGATCCCAGCCAGACTCACACCTTCACCTGCATCCCAAAAAGGATGGAGCAGAGCACAAAGGGTGGAGGAGGAATAGTGCAGTTACACTTAGGAGTTGCTGCAGGAGGAATTGCTTTGGAGCAGAATTATTCAAGGCAACGTCACTTCTCTAATAAACAAGTTTTGACTTGAAGAGGTTCTTGCTGTGGGCCTGGGCTGAGCACTAATGGAAAAAGCAGGGGAGCAGGAGGTCTGCACAGGCTTTTGCTGCAGTGGGAGCTCCCCAATTCTTCCAGAGGCTATATTATCAGAAGGTCGAGAATTCAGTCTCCTGCTCAGCAGAAGGTTATGTGGACAAACAGAGGTACTGAGCTGTTCCAGTAGCACAAAAGCCTCTTAAAATGTTCTGATGTCATCATGGGAAGGCTAATCAGTCCTCATGTCAGTGGCTTCAGGTTCATAAATTGTTAATTGCAGTTATTAAGGGCAGCTGGTGAAATCCATCCTCTGTTTCATACCTGGCACATCAGATAGGAAAATTTCTGTTTTCACCAAGGGGGCTTTGTAGGGAAGTGTGCAGTAGTGGCTTCACATTAGTCAAGAAATCCTTGAGAAGAGATAAAAATACCCTTTGCTTAGATTGTGAGGCAAATTCAACAGACTTCCAGGCTGCCTGAAAGGATTAATGCTGTTTTTCCCATTGAAGATTCTTCAAAAGTATATGAACAGAATGGTAATGTTTTGTTTCTTTGAGCTCCTGGGCAAGCTTTTGAGAGATGGCAATATGAGAATCAGGGCTGTGGAAGTTTTCCTGTTGCTTTTGCAGCATGCAGTCTGTAAATTCTAATTTTACAGGGAGTGAACAACACTTTGGAGAACCTGAGGTGCTATCAATGGAGCACTTCAGGACTGTGTATTTTGCTCTGTGAGATTTGCACATGAATGCCTTTCTACCTGCATGGCTCTTCAAAAAGGGCATAGATGTCTTCAGGTTACTTTATTGTATGACCTCTTAGCCTGGAAAAGTGATGGTGGTCTATATCCAGGGATCATTACTTCTGCTTGTGGAGCTACATAAAAGCAGGAAAAAAAAGAGCTTTGACTGTACAGAAATGTAGTCAAATCCAAATATATATGTGTGTATATACATATATTTTTTGCTTGAGGTAAAACTAAAATCTGAAGCACAGATGAAAATGCCTGTTTTCTAAAAATGGAAATGGACAGCTGTTCATGATGAATTGGTCAGGCAGGGGTACATAAGTCAAAAAGCATTTCACTTTGAGTTTGAACACCTCAGTCACTTGCTGCCACACTTGGTGTTCACCTGCCCAACACTGTATCTTTGTCTCAGAAATAGAGGAGGCTGCTGTATGGACAGAGAGATGCTGAAGTCAAAATTATGGCCATGAAAGAGGACGTGAAATGGAAGTAGCAGATTAAAAATAAAAGTGCATGTTGATTGCTCAAGCATACCAGGAGCAAGCGGCCTGTCTGCATTTAAATGTGTTAGAAGTAAGCAACTCTCAGAGCCCAAAAAAGGGCAAAGACAGACAATCAAACCCTTGTGGGTGTGACTTCAGAACATTATTCGTGGGGTTGTATCTACTACCTGCTTGATGGCAGTTCTCCAAATGTTTCCCCAGTATTCTGTCCCATACTATAAAGGAAACCTTCCTGCAGACAAGCTTTGAAGGGCTGAAATCTGTATTCTTACACAGGAACACCTCAGTATTGTTCCCCTTGTCTTCCTCAGATTCTAAAGCAGTCCCTGCTCCTCTGGAGAAGTCAGTATGAGATTATTTCAGTTAGACAGAGAAATTGTATGTTTGTGACATCCCTTTGGGTGTTCCCTGCGTTGAATTCTGCTTTTCTGTGTTGCTGTTGTCACTTGTGAGAGGTGATGTTCTGGGCAAGCAGCACAGTAGAGACATGAGCAAGGTAAATGTTGATAAAGGAATAAAAAAAGAGCCAGAAGAATTGGAAGGATTTTTTTTCTTCACGTAATTTTCTGTCTGGGGTGCTTTATTGTTGATAAATACAGGGTTCTGGTGAAATCTTTAGATCTGGAAGACAGAATGAGTTGAATGCATCTTTGCATGCAAAAAACAACCCCTGTTAGACTTAAAACTTTGCCACTTCTATAGTTCATAGTCTGTATCCTTATGTGCAGGTGTCCGCTGTTTTTTGGGGTTCAGAAGCGAGTCAAGTTGACAAATTGCTGTCAATTGAGATTGTTTTAACCTAAAAGAAAGAAAATCAGTTGACTTGGATGCATTAAATCAAGAGCCTAATGAATTTATTTTATCTTTACAGACTGTTGGGGGTATTCTGGAAATGCGCCAGGATTGGTAATTCTTTATTTTTTTTCCTTTCAAAATCCCTAAGATCAGTCCTATTTCTAGCATAATTTATTAGGATAATGTTGCCATGTAGCAATGAAAACCATACACATCCTTTGTCTTCAAAAATGCAGGTTTTAACCTCCATGAAATAAGGGGGCAGGATATTGCTTGCTTAGATTAGCATCATGGAAATCCTGCATCTTCTCATGTCAGTTCATGTATCTGGTGTTACATTTTCAAAAGTCTTTTGCACTTTCTGCCACGTGAAATAATCAAGAGTGAATTTCTAACGTGCAACAAAATCAGTGATTTCCTACAAACTGCAGTCTGTTTGAAATTGCAATGGACTGTTGGATAAAAGCCAGATATTTACCTTATAGTAATAAAAAAACATGGAGTTAATAATGCATTAAGGTTCTGTTTAAGCATAAATGTGGTTTTTTTCCCCTCTCCTTTCTTTACTCAGCTTCTGTGCACTTTTGAATTACACAGAGCTGTTCGTGTCAAGTGACATCTGCACACAGGCTGATCATCTCTATCTGATTCTTGACATTTTCCCATAACATTGGTTTTATATTTATTTTAATCCTTATCCTGAATTTATTTTGAGAAGGAAATTGGAATATGCAACAGAAGTTTAGTCTTAACATTAAGGTATATCCACGATTTAGAAAAACAAAAACTACAAACCCCTCATCAGTGTTCAAATTGCGTTGTTAATTCAGAGCAGAAACTTTGAACTTGTAATTTTAGATCTTCTTACTAATCATTGAACCTAAAGACAGCCTGTATGATTCCCTTTCTGCATTCCCAGGCAGAACATTTTACAGGATGTCAGAAAAGCATTGACACAAAGAATAGGGTTTTGGTGAAGACCAGTTGTTAAAATGATTGCAGATATTGCCCCATTTAGATAATAGACATAGCAGAATCAATTTTAGTGCTGTAATTGAAAGGTACTGGGAAGGTGGCAGCTGTCAGAAATGAATTTTGAGCTATACCAGTGAAAACAAATGTAAAAATACAGCTGCATTTTGGGTTTGTTCAAGGTTGAAGAGAGCACCTCACCTTCCCTTGCCCTTACCATCTTCTTTGTAGTTAATTAAGTACAAGGTTATTTTTTTTCAATTAGCTGTGTTTCTTTTGCAACTTGCATATAGAGTGGACCACTTTGATTTTCTTTAAGACTAAGAAGTGAAAATGGGCTTTGGAGATTATTCCTGTCATTTTGTGTGTGTTAATCACAAAGGCAAGTAGAACGTGTAGGTTTTAAAAACGAAAATGTCTGCTGGCTTCCTTTACATTTCACATCCCTGGTATGTTTAAACAACCTTTTCACATGTACATAAGATCTTAATCACAGGCAAGTGGTTACATATTTACAAAGTTGTGCAAAATAATGTTTAATCCTGCCACATGGTGATTTCTCTTTTAAGAAAATTAAGAGCAGAAAAGCATAACCCATATGAAAATTGTAATACCCTGAACCGTAGGAGTTGGACTTCCTCAAAATTTATTTTAAACAGATGTGAAACTGCAGACATTAATTCGTTCAGTTATTTGAAGTTTAATTAAATATATGCCAGATCATGACAGCATCTTGTAATGTCACCGGGCAGTCAGTCCTGTGTATGGGAGGTGTCACTGCAAGTATTTTATTTTTCTTTTACTGTGGAAAGTTTGTTCCTTCTGTGTTTAAAGGTCCTGCTGGTAAAAGAAAAGACTTTTTTCATAAAAATTGCACCACGCTAGACTTGGGAGCCTTGGTGGGTTTGTTCTTTAATATTTCTCTGAAAACTTTGTCTCAAATAAGGTGGTTTGTGAAGACAAAGGACCTCACACAGCAAAGGGAAATTGAACTTTGCTTAAATCAAACAGCCCCCCCAGCTCTGTCTTTATACTCCTGGGCATGTAAAAACAGGGATCTTCTCACTTTAAAGACATATTTCAGTGTTAACACTCCCTGGCAGTTCTGCAGGCTGGAGGTACCATCCACTGTTGGTCTCTCCAAGGAGAATTTAGTGGAACCATGAAGAATAAAGTTTAAGTTAAAAACATCCTGCTAATTAATGGAGAAAGTGTTCATGTAAGTAGGCACCAGTGTGATTACCTGGTTGTGTTACAGTTCCCCACCTAAGAGTCTGTTTTTTTCTTGGTGAAAGAGACCTCTGTAACATTCTGTCCTGGACCAAATGGGTGGGAACTGATCTCTCACGATTGCTTTTGCCACCAGATGAAAGTCTACTAATGGAGTAAACCTAACTTTAATCCATAGTTTGCCCTGGGAAACTGTGGCACCAATTTGAAGCAGTCAGAAAATAGAGGTGTCTGTGCAGCTCCTGTGATGTGCTGACCATTTTTAACAAGGAAATCTGTGGACCAGACCCTCTCCACATGCTGACAATGTTATCTCTTCTTAGCAAAGCAAAAAAAAGACAGGCATCTGGCCCTGTCTGGGCAGCTGTGAGTTCACAGCTCTGGCTGCTGCGTGACACCCTGCACAGAAGATTCACACTGCAGGTGACAGGTACCAGGCCCAGAGACAGCACCAGCTGCACCTCAGCTGACACAGAACAGCTTCTGAGCAGCCACAGAGGAGCAGAGACAGCAAAATTGAGGTGTCATGGGCAACTTTCCACTGCCTGCCCCTTGACTCTGGCACAAGGAGGTAGCAGCAACATAAAACTGCAACTCAGAAAAGGTGGTTTGTAGCGAGATGGAAGCCCTTACATGGGCCCTTCACAGGGACCCAGAATCACCCATCCCACCCCTGCCATGGCAGGGACACCATCCACTGTCCCAGGCTGCTCCAGCCCCAGTGTCCAGCCTGGCCTTGGGCACTGCCAGGGATCCAGGGGCAGCCACAGCTGCTCTGGGCACCCTCACACCCAAGAATTCCCAAAACAGCCCGTGCATCCCTGCCCTACTTCAGCTTGAGGTCATTCCCCGTTGCCATGTCACTTCATGCCCTCGTTCACGAGTCCCTCCCTTAAAGCAAAGAGCCCCAACTCTGTTTTTATGTAGCAAAACAGCCTGTCCTACATCCGAATCTCCCCACTGCCCACACATGTTCTTTCTGAATACACAGCTGTACTTCTGCCTGCCTTTCTCCAGCTACAAATGTCGAGTACCAGTTTGCACGTGCTGCTGTACAATTACAGCATGGGGCTAGGAGCAGCTGGGTCTGTTTAGCCATGCCTGAATTTCTGTTTGTTCTGGCTTCTCTCCCCTCCTGCCAGGTGAGAGGAAGAGCCCCTACGTGGCCGTGTGCTGTGTGGTGATGGCCTTCAGCATCCTGTTCATGCAGTAGCAGCTGGAGAGCATCCCCAAGTCCCCGACAGCAGATCCTGTGTCAGGAAAGGATGGGAAGCCTCACCAAGTCTCCTCTCACACGATGGGTAACCTGTCTCCTGGTGGACACCCCTGCAGATGGACCAGCATTAGTGATCATAACCCAGATGAGATGTGCTTGTTAATGCCAGGTCAGCACTGACACTCCTGCTGTAACTCATGGAAGGGTGTCTAGTGCTTGTCTGAGTTTCAGGGGAGTTCTTTCTTTTCTCCTTTTTTTTTTTTCCCCACACCATGCAGTTGAAAATGCTTGCTGTTTTTAATTCTTTAAAGATTTATTGTCCGGTAGACTTGTTGAATGAAACCTTAAAATGGTAACTCAGCCACAGCAATAAGACCACTCTCTGCAGAATAAAGAGCATTTTGACTCTAGGGGATGTTTATCAAAGTATTGCTGCCTGAACAATTCCTCCTAATTTGTAAATGATGGCTTCACTCTCATCCTAAAAATATGACCTCTGTCTGACCTAAGTTACACTCAGCTATTTGTTTCCAAAGTTGTAATTTCTCAAATAATGTATCAATATTTCTGTTGTTAAGA